AAGATGGCCACAAGCCAAACCTTCTAACCTACACCACTCTAGTTGCTGCATTGACTCGTCAAAGGCGTTTCAAGTCCATCCTGTCTTTGATCTCCAAAGTTGAAGAAAATGGGATGAAACCTGATTCCATACTCTTCAATTCGATCATCAATGCATTTTCTGAATCTGGAAATGTAAAGGATGCAATGGGAATTTTCCAGAAGATGAAGAGCAGTGGATGTAAGCCTACCACCAGCACTGTCAATACTCTCATCAAAGCATATGGGAATGCTGGGCAACCCGAACAAGCTTCGGAATTGTTGGAGTCATTGTTGAAGGAAGAAGACGTGAAGCCAAATGAGAGGACATACAATATCCTAGTAAGAGCTTGGTGTAACAAGAGAAACATTGATGAAGCTTGGAACGTGGTAGACAAGATGGTGGCATTCGGATTGAAGCCAGACGCTGTCACATTTAACATACTAGCTAGGGCTTATGCTGAGATAAGCATGACGAGCAGAGCGGAAGACTTATTGTCTGAGATGCAGAGAAATGGATTGGCGCCAAATGAGCGTACTTGTGGCATCATTGTGAATGGATACTGCAACGAAGGAAATATGGTGGAAGCCTCAAGGTTTGTGTACAGAATGGAGAAGCTTGGAGTGCATCCCAATCTCATCGTTTTCAATTGTCTCATTAAAGGCTTTGTAGATAACCTGGACAAGGATGGAGTTGAGGAGGTCAGTTTCTATACCGAGAAATGTTATAATTGCTATAGCATTGTGTAAAAGAGCTCCAACCAGCTTCATTTCTTTGTTGGGTTAATGTCACTGAACTTAGGGTCACTGATATATCACTCTGACATTTTGTTAGTATTGAACTTGTCATTGAAGTAAGTGTGAATTCGTGAATAACTGGAAAAACACAACATAGGGGTAAGGAGAGAGATAATTAAGTTGATTTGAGGTAATCGGTTTTGGAACTGGATTGAATATGAATTGAAATGTATTATCATGTTAGCTAATGAGAGTTTCTGTAGACATTTTTTTGTAATTACTTATATGATTTGGCTTGCTTATCCGGAATTTTTTGTTAAAAACTTTTCATGGAAATGGATGAAGTGACTACTATAGTTATTTTAATTTTCAACGACAAAAATTACTATGTTACAGGCACTTGATGCTATGGAGGACTACGGAATCAAGCCTGACGTGGTGACATTTAGCACGATAATGGATGCATGGGGATCTGCAGGTATCATGGACCAGTGCCTAGAGATCTTCAATGATATGTTGAAAGCTGGTATAGAACCAGACATCCATGCATTCAGCATCCTCGCGAAAGGTTACGTGCGAGCTGGGGATCCAGAGAAGGCTCAGTCGGTTCTGGCATCCATGGGACACTACAGCGTGCGCCCGAACGTAGTAATATGCACAACCATCATTAGCGGCTGGTGCAGTGCTGGAGAAATGGACGCTGCAATGGAAGTCTACGAGAGGATGTGCGAGATAGGGATTTCGCCGAATTTGAAAACGTTCGAGACTCTGATATGGGGATATGGAGAAGCCAGACAGCCGTGGAAAGCACAGGAGTTGCTGCAAGTCATGGAGGAGAAAGGCGTATCTCCGGGGAAGAGCACTATGCAACTCGTTTCAGATGCCTGGCTAGCCGTTGGTTTAACAAGTGAAGGCAAGAGAATAGTGGCTGAAGGAGAAGGAGATGAAGCTGCAAATTCTAAGGTTGCTGTAGATACAAGAGAGGAGGAGATGCCGAAAGACCCAGATCTCTCGGCCTCTTATTCCAAGGTGTTGGAGGTGCCTGGAGATGTTCTGAAAGGTCCAAATGGATCATCATCTCCTGTTGTCAAGATGAGAAGCCAGATGATTCTGAAGGACCCCAGGTCTTCATCAGAGGCCTTATCGCCTAGTTTGAAATCGATGTTCTTTTTTCGCGCATCAGGTTTTGGAAGACAGCCGCGAGTTATTTGTAGAAGGCAGGAGCAAAGCCTTTCTTGCATTCGTGGGAAGTTCACGAGATCGTGTGGCATCTTGTCCATTGCATGAAGGCTGAACTCATGTTAGCTGCTTGTGCTGGCAAGGTGTAGAAGAACAGTGCCGGTTGAAATGAACTTTCAGAAGTGCTTCCTGAAGTTGTAGATATACATTTGTTCTTGTACTGAACCACAGTGCTTAGCTTCCTATGCCATTGACTACAAATGTAGTGTTTTTTATAGGTAACAATGCATTCGAATATTTCCTCCAATGGCCTTGAGGCTATATCTGGATGGGTAGACATGTTCATAAAAACTATAATGTACTTTTCATGTACTGATATAAATTCGTGTACTGATATGACCAAAAGTCACGTTCATGTATCGGAATGACCAAATCATGAAAATTCAAAGGTAAAATTGATCGATCAAAGAGTTCTTCCACCGCTTCGCTCCTTTCTCCTTCACCTCCTTCGAGAGGCAAAAGCCATCCATAAATTTGATTGGCGGCCGATACTATAACCTGTTCTCCGGTGCTACAGCAAACAACTGAGCCCAGGAGGAGCCGCCACCAGTCGGCGGGATCTCCAATGACAAGGCAGTCATCGCAACCCTAACCGAAACTAGAGAGAAAATAGAATACTATTGTTTATTTTTATTGAACTAAATTCTCATTATTTGGTTTGCAGGTAAATATTGTCCTTTTTACATCCAAAGCCTCACGTTGGCCATATCTTTTATTATTCAAATCACTTTTTTAGAAAGGTTAATACCTTATTTTGGTTCGAATTACACTCATTTAATAAACTTTGGCCAGTGATTTCAAAAATTCTCACTTTGATCTCAACTATAAATCATATAAACTCAACTGGTTCACACAATCTGAACCACAAACCGTGTATATGATCTAATCTGGACCACACGGCACCGTTTCCTCTATAATATTCATTGTCAACCAATTGGGCCATTATAAGCTATGAATGGGCCAACGAGGAAATATTGGGCCCATTGCAAAAGCCCAAAGAACCAAACTAGGAGTATGACTCCAGTCTCCAGGCAATTCGAGACCGGGAATCGCCACCGTCTCCTCCATCTCCCCGGACTCTGGAGCTCCGAACCTAATCCAGATTTCCAGCTCCACTGAGAGCTCCTTAAATCCTTCTGCTTTTTCAATCATGATATCTCCCCAAATCGTTAATTTCCAGTCCATTCAAAACCCCAGTCTCCCTTCGCTTCCCTTGTTTACAGCGGCCCACCGCCGTCTCTCTATCCCGAATTTCACCCCGACCCACGTCAAATTTCCCGTTGAAGATCGCGACTTTCGCCGGAGGTTAGTACCTTCGGCTCGGTTGCGGAGGCCTACGACCTGTTATGGGGTGAAGGGTTCGAAAAATGCTTCGGCGGTGGACTCTAGTAGTAGTGGCGGCGGCGGAGACGGCGGTGGCGGCGGAGGTGGTGGGGACGACGACGGGAGTGAGGGGAAAAGCAGTGGGCTTTTGCCGGAGTGGTTGAATTTCTCTCTGGACGATGCCAAGACGGTGGCCGCGGCGGTGGCCATCTCGCTTGCGTTTCGGACTTTCGTGGCCGAGCCCAGGTTCATTCCTTCGCTGTCGATGTACCCAACTTTTGATGTCGGCGACAGAATTGTTGCAGAGAAGGTAAAAGAAAACGCTCCCCTTTTCATTCCCATTAAGCTAGAGTTAGTCCCATTGCTCTAGTCAAGGATTTTGGAGGGAAGGGGTGGAGTTTTGTTCCTGGATTCTAGTTTGAGATACTTACTGGGAATTCGAATTGGACAATTGGGAATCTAGCTTGGCAGAGCTATCCCTCCAATCCAGCTTGATTATGGATTTGAGAATCCACTCGGATTTAATCAAGCAAGGACCAATTTGATGATGGGGGGTTTGTCTTGCTTCAGTGCACTTAGGTTCATGGAAATGTTGATCAGATTATGTATTCTCAGTCTAGGTTTCTTGAATGTATAAGCTTGTATGGGGAAATTGAGAATGAGAATTCAAATGCAACTTTTCAGGTCACATACCGCTTCAGAGAACCTTGTACAAATGATATAGTTATATTCAAGGCTCCTCCCGTCCTCCAAAAAGCTGGATACACGGACGAAGATGTGTTCATCAAACGAATCATTGCCAAGGAAGGCGACATTGTCGAGGTCAGATCCCTAACCTAAACAAGGGCGAGCTTTTCTTCTTCCTCTCGATGTTACTGCTGTCGTAATGACTTGGTTGATATGCTTAATCTGTCAGGTCCGTGATGGGAAGGTTATAGTGAATGGAGTCGAGAGAGATGAAAAGTTCATCTATGAGAAGCCTTCTTATAACATGAAACCAATTGTAAGCATATTCACTCTATTCTCTTTGTTCTGTAGCATGATGAAACTTCCAAGGTTCTCAATCACACACACAATTCACTGTTCTTCTGTGTTTATGCTTGCTGCAGAAGGTACCCGAGAATTATGTATTCGTGATGGGGGACAACCGGAATAACAGTTACGATTCACATGTCTGGTAAATGTTTCCCAATCTTTTGACCTATCCTCTGAAGATAAAAGATTCCAAAAGATCATCTATACTTGTTGCTTTCACTTCTACTGATACATCGAAATGCTCTTCATATAGGGGTCCTCTTCCGGCAGAGAACATACTGGGAAGATCAGTGGTCCGGTATTGGCCTCCTTACAGGATCGGCAGTACAGCTTCTGAGACAAATTGCTCTGCTGATAAGCTGGAGAGCATCAGCGTCCGAGCCCCTGCAATCAAGTCCGACTGACTGGCAGGCCTGCATCTTCACCGTTTTCCCCCTTCCCATGTTGTGTATCATGTCATTTTTTGGTAGGATTGTAACCATAGATCAAACAACCAGCCTGGTTATAACGATTCTTAGCGACAAATCGATGGATGCTTATATTTTGCACAACTCACATTGCAAAACTTTTGACGGTTGTAGATCTTTTATTGCTCATGTCATCACTTGGCAGCACAATTCTTTGCTCAAAATACAGAAGTGCTCGAGATCATACGAGCTTGTACGTACAAGAATGCTTCTTAAGCCGAATGGGGTTGCTTGTTCGAGAATCAAACATCAGGGCACAAGAGATCCTCTGTGTATGCCTAGACTTCACCAGCTTCCCCACAACGTAGCCTCTCGACCTCACCTCAAACACCAACCTCACCGGAACTTGCACTTCCTCCTCCGCCGATCTTGTCAGGCTCGCCCCTGCACCGTAGAGAGGCACCCTCATCCCCTTGACATTGACCGAGACTGCCTTGTGGCTCTTCCTCGGCTGGTAATACGACCTCAGCTGCAAAAACATTTCACAACAATACAATACAACATCACCGCCCGAACCAAAACCATAATCACGAGCTTCGTGCAGTCGATCGATCGCCACATCTAGCTTACCTGGCCTGTCGCGACAACGAGCTGGGAGAACATGATATGAACCGGAGTCGAGCTCACGCTGATTCCGAAGAACGAAGCCGGGTTATAAACCTTGATCCCCACGGAACAGTTGGTGGTGAGCATTTTCGTCGGGACCCCTGTCAGGTCCGATCCTTGCCCGAAGTAGAAATTGTGAACCGTCAAGCTCTGCCCCCAATCATCATCAAAATCCATAGATATCATCAATCAACTGGGGGCTAATTCGCAAATCGCAAGATTGAAACATTTTTCAGGAACCCAAATCTGTAAATCTCTCTCTTTCTCTCTTTACCTTGACAGTGATTTGGGGGCTGAAAGGACGGCTGGCGCCCCAGAGAAGGAAACAGAACGCCGTGAAAATCGCGGCCAAACCCATGACCGCCAGCAGGACCCGGCACCTGGCCGGGTCGCCGTAGCCATCATAATCGCCTCCTCCTTCCTCGAGGATGACGTGGCAGTTCCCGGCGGAACTGGGCCACCGTCTGATTTTCCCGGTGGGTTTCCGGGTGGCGGAGGCGGAGGAGGGGTAGGATCCGCCGGAGACGCGGCTCGATGAGGATGCGCGTGAGTGGCGGCCCGGGTGGTAGTAAGGGTGGGAAGGGGAGTCGATCGGAGTGGTGTTCGGCAGCGAGGAGGAAGAGGCGGTGGCGGATTTGTCGCCGTCGTCGTGGGAGTCTCGCGATGGGCTCTGCACGTAGTACACCGGCCGCTTTGGGGATCGCGGCGACGACGGCTCGAGGCTGGTCAGGTCGGAATCCGACGATTTCGCGTATTTGGCGTACATTTCTTTTTGTTGTTCGTTGGGTTTGAGTGAGTGGAGTGGTGAAGAAGAAGAAGCTGTGAGAGTGTGGAGTAATGGAGTTCTTCTCTTTTTTTGTTTGGCAGTGAAATTGTGAAACGGAATTGGGTCGGAAAGCATGTGATTGCGGAGGAAGAGGGAGAGAATGAAACGGTGGGGTGGACACTTGTAATTTGTAAAGGAGAAAACAGAGCTTTTTTTTGGGTTGAGTTGGTCAGTTCATGAACTAATTTTTTTATTATTATTATTATTACCTAAGTTTGAGTGTTTACTGTTTAATGTTTTTAAGGATCTCATTAAATGTTAACTTTTTATGGTGAAACTGTATATGGAAAGACTAAACTTGGGAAACTACTGGTTCGATGCATAATAGCAAAATAGTGCCAAGATTGTATATGGGGAAAAAAATTGATCATACGGCGAATAAGGGATCGGTCTAAGTTAAAAATAAATTTTACATGATTTTAGTATATAACAATATGTTTAAAAATTTGAAATCGGTTATAAAACTATGTTGATATAAATTAAAACTTATTAATTTGATTCATTGAAATGCGTTAATTAAACATGTTTTAATTATCGAAACATAAACAAAACCAAAAAAAATTAGACAACTATGCGATAGCATGAAACGAGTGTTTTTTTTTATATTTAGTATGCACACGAGTATTAAATGAATATATTATGATAATTACTCCCGTAGAAATGAAAGGGAACTCTTGAAATTGACTATATAGTTCCTTCTTTCCCTTGCATTCCATAATATATGAAAATATTATTGCTGTCTCGTCATATAAAAGAGCATCACCAAAGACAATATCCAACAAATTATTTTCAAAAAATACAAATACTATATCAAAATATGCCGCATTGGTAAATTAGCATACCACAATAGTAAGAATTTTCATACCATGTTATGACTATGCTAAGATCCAACCTAACAATTTATTTTGTCATAACACCATCATATAATTTTCATCTAACCGTTATGGTAATTCCCTGTTCCAAGACTTATTATCATTATATCAAGATCTCGCTATTATGCTAAAACTCTCTTCAGTGTCATAGCAGGCAAGCTCATATTGTGAACTTATGTATATTAAAACTGTGTATATCATATTATCATATCATAATCTTAGCATTGTGCAAATACTATGTTATTTGTTATATCAACACCTTATCGTTACCACCGTGGACATATTCTTCCCTGTCATATGATCATGGTATACAAAAACTTATAGCACATGAAATGCAAATAATTACATAAAAAGTTCGTTGAATAGGGATGCTCGTTATTCATATTATACATTATTTCAAAACTAATAAAATCACCAAACCTTCACATTTACTAACCTTAAGCACATAAAATTACTATACCCACATTCGATTGTTCTAGGAAATATATAATATCAAATAAAAGCACCGCCACTAGCATTTCTACCTTGACCCCTAAATATGCAAGCATTCCTTGTCTCAATCTTACCTTTGTTCTTGAAACCTAAAAATGCAGGCATTCGTGGCGTCCATCTTCCCTTTGTTCTTAAAATTGTCTCACCGAGGAATATGTTTCTCAAGCACTGAAGGACTTCAAAGCCCTTAGATTATGATAAGTCTATTTGTTTTGAGGTTTGTTTTATGACTGATCTTTATGAAGTTGGGAATATTGGAACACGATTTGGTATCTCATTGAATAGACTGGCTTCAATAACCAAATTAATGTAACTATTACAATAATAACCAGTAAATTTTGTTACAGCAATCCCAGATATATTAACACAAACCATGAAAAATTTGTATAAAAATTCATTTAGCCAAACATTGTACAGTGTAGCAATACGAAAACAATCATGATACAAAGGAATATGGATGAAGAATTGCTACAAGTCAAGAGCAGCCAAAACTGATGGAATCGGATCAACCCTCCAACTATCTCAAACATTAGATTGGAACAAGTCAAGAGCAACCAAAACTGAGATTGGAGGTCTGTTCCTATTCCAGAGGCCAAAAGAACCATTCAGCCCATCACCATACTTATATCTTCACACTTCGAATTGTACCTGAAACCAAAAGAACTTAGTCCAGCCAAACCATTCTCGAAGAACCAGTACATTGATACAATGTATGCCATTAGTTCAAAAATGGAGTCCAAATAAAATATGGCCTCATAGGGAATCCGATTTCGGTTGTCGACATGAAGTTAAAAATTCAGCCATATGCTTGTCAAAAGAGAAATCATCGGCCATTTCCGCATAAACACCACAACATAGAGTTCTAAAATACTCTCTACAACATTGAGAAAGAAAAACGATTTCAGGGTCATCAGATAGGAGCGAAAGACTAAAAAGGATTTATCTAATCACAGTGATTACTCAGCTGAACTATGCATTACAAATCATCACCTGACCCCATCAATCAAATCGATGAAAAAAAAAAGTAAATCTTGTTAAAAACAAACAGAGGAAACGTAAGCCTCAGAAGGAAGGCAGTAGTGGTTTGTTCTGTAATCAAGCAATTCGTCATACTGACACAATATCACCAGTTCCCATCACAGGCAAAAACGAAAGCATTGAAAACCCAGATGGAAAGAACAGATCTTGAAATGGCCTCATAGAGAAGATTAGGCGTATCAACATGGTTGAAATTCAGACATATGCTTGTCAATTTTCGATATTAAATCATCGGCCATACCACATCGCCAGAAAAAGAAGGAAACTTGGATCTGGGTTTTTTGAAAGAAGAAAGTAATTGAAGGGGGACTCAGAATATGGGTGGTGATATATCAGAATGGTCGTCAAGGCCTTTTACAGCCATTACGACGAACGAGACCTTTCATGATAGTAATCGTCACCGTCCCGCTACCGTTCAAGAAACACGAAAAGCGCAGAAGAAGAAGCAGTAAAGGAAAGGCGAGAGAATCAAATTAAAACCCTAAACCTGGAGGTAGATCTGGACGAGATATGAGAGGAAACGCAGGTGCTGCTACTTATAAGAGAGAGAGAGAGATGGCGGAAAGGGGAAGCGGCTAGGGTTTTGATGAGACGATTGCAAGGGTTTCGTCTTTCGAAGGTTTCGGATCTGGTAGTTGTTTCTTTAGCGGGGTGTAGAGAGCGCGCGTAAAGATGGCTTTTCTCCAATATGGGCTTTGATGTTTGACGATTGGCTGGGAAGCCCAGGCCCAATATTGAACGATTCATAAGCTATAGGCCCATTCCTGGCGGCAATTTACCACCAGCCGGCTGGAGTTACCAAAGCCTTAGGGCACACGAGAGTTTTTGTTGGTTCTCCGTAACCTCGATTAGTTTTGAATGAAAGGTTGGAATGCATTTTTCACATCGAAAAATGAATTTAAATTGTTTGTGTTATAACGAATCGTAGAACATTTTTCAGGCACGGTGTGAGATAATCATTTCAAACGGAGCTGATACCTACGAGCCACAAAATGACACGTTGTCTTATCTATACGGCAAACATTTTTCACAGAGCTAAATGTCAGAAAGAGATGCTACCAAGTACAGGGACGAAGCTACATAGTGTGTAGGGGGGTCATACGAATGTTCGAAAGTTCTGGAAATTTACGTATTAACTGAAGTGATTTTAATATAAACAGTTTAAATGTATGGTTTCCTCGCGGGGCATTCTTCTCCGGTATGTCCTGTTAGCCTAGAGGTCTTCCTCTAGGGTTAACATAGGGGTTCTTTGAAGTTTGCTGAGACTCTCTGGCTCCCCTTGCAACGAACTGGGTTCCAGATCATAAGCTCTGACTAACGGGAGAGTGACTAAATGTGACATGTTTAAGTAATTCGAGTGACTAAATATGACACGTTTCAATAATTCGAGTGACCGGAGTTGGACAGAGGCTACAGGAGAGTGACCAAATGTAACCTGTTCAATAATTCGAGTGACCAAAATTAATATTATTTTTTTAGTGACTAAACATAACACGATTTAGTAATCTCGGTGACCAAGTGTAGCATTTACCCTATTTTGCATGGCAGCAAAAGAATCGACACTCGGCAACCTTCACTGTCCTTATATATGACTTCAGTTCACCACACTCCAAATGATGATGTGCAATTGTAGAGTTTGATACACAACAACATGGACGTCGGTCTAATGCTTAGGGATTTATTTCAACCATTGTACAAATTCCAAGTCTGATACATTTAAGCCAAAGCCATCGTCCTAAGCTGAGTGGTGAAAACCGTAAACCAAAGCCTAACAAAAGCTCTCTCTCTCTCTCGCTCTCTCTCCCTCGTCGCCTACTTTGTCAAATCATTACTGCTATACCTTCCAACCAAAATGCTAACACACTCTACACTCTGGACAACAAACAAATGTTACATTCGCCACCAAATCTTTTTGATGCCAAGAATAGTAAAAGCTGATTTTCATGTCCCTTATGATCTCCCATGAAGATGGATGATTTCCAGTGACAACTTGGTGACTTCGATCTGCAAAATAATGGGAAACGAAAGAAGAAAAAAGCTGTCTTGCTTTCTTCTTCAGTATCAGCTCGTGCTCAGTCTATTTCTATCCACTGTGACGTCAGAATCAAGAGTAGACAGGATCTGGGGCATCGACATCCCTCCGGAGACAACTATCTCTGCAATTACAAGGATGAATGAGGAAGAGCAAAAGAATACAAATCTTTGTATGGCCAAGCTTCCTAATGTTTAAATATCAGGCATTGATTCAGTGGAATCCTCACCTATTCCTTCCCTGACTGACAGATTAGGTCTGATCACATCCTTAGTACTGACAAGGAATATATCACCAATGTACAGATGATTTGTAGGGACATAAACACAGCAGAGTTCCTCATCTCCAGCATAGTTCTGCACTCACAGTTGGTAAACCAGGAAAAATATTAAATGCCGTGCAAGAACTTTTAACGCATTCACCGAGAAGGATATAAAAGTGTGCTGATGTTCTCCCATTTAATGGTGTCAAGAGACAACCATGGGGGTGAAAGCAAGTTGTGACATTGAAGTAATTCCAAAACAACTTTCTTTCATGAGTTGAATTTATACCTGGAGGGTAACAGAGGAAGTGATGAAGCCAAATGCATATTCACCAATACGTGGATGTCTTATAATGGCTACTTCCTTGAAGGCCTGTGTATTCTGATCTGAAATAGTGAACAAGTGTACAAGACCTTAAATGGCGCCCATCATCAGAAACCATAAGCCAAAATCCACCACAGATCAGCCAAGAGTAATACCTGGCGATATGGCAGCACCAATTTGCTTTGAGGCATTATAGATATGGCGGACAAATGGCATCCTTTTGATAAACCATTCTCCAAGGCTCAAGACAGATGCCCCCAACCAAGATGACATGAATACTCCAACCACGAAAATGAAAGTTATGGACGTAACAAATCCGAGACCTGGCAGCGCAGCACACGCGAGGTAAGTTACTACTAATTTAGCATTAGTGAACACCTTCGACCAAATCCTACTCTGTGCACAACCATGCTGATCAATAAACAACATGGAACAAAAGGAACACCAAACATCTCAACTATATAGCACCAGAATACGAAGTCCTTATTAGAGTTTCAGAGAGAATCTTGTTAGCCCAACAACAGGATTAATCGATACCTTTAACTTTTCACTTACTAGAAGTGGCTAATATTAGAATGATATGGGACTCCATAGAAACAACCAATCCAGTGTATATAAGCACGGAACAATGATTTCTGTAATCAGCTCCCATATGTCGTCTTTCATTATAAGACGTCAAAAGCCATGGGATATTGACCCATTCGAACTATGGTGTATACACAAAACTTTAGGTGTCAATGGTCAGAGGAAGTTCCTCAAAACTTCAAGTTTTTCCAAAGAGTACAAGTATACTAATGTTGACCAAAGTGCTCACCAAATATATCAATTCCAAGTTGAGCATAGATTGGAGAGAAAAATCCATCCACAAAGTGAATAAACCACCATGTTACATAGAAAGTAATAGCAATTGGGAAGAGGATAACACTGCAAAATAGCCAAGAATGAGAATCAGTGACCAATGAAGCTTCCAACAATTCAAAGTATCAAATAAAAATTGTATTGCTGACGGACAGAAGAGTTGAGGAAGTGCAAAACAACAAATAACAAAGAATATCAAGAATCAACACAGAAACAGAGTTCTCGCCGAAACAGAAATAGAAGATGCTTAATCAAAAAGTTCTTTTGAATGAAAATGCCTTGCCCATCACCATAAAACAAAGGATCACTTCAAATCCTAAACACAAAAGCATGAGAATCAATTATATGCTCTAAAATGAAAGTTTTAGAAGCAATATCTGGCGATTCAACTAACTTATGTTTGAACTGTTGATAGAAACATGAAGATGATATAAATGACCTAGGAATTGATTCCATTCTTTAAAATGAATGTCGTTACTTTATGTATACATTCAATATGACTAGGGGAAAAAAGTAATGTGGAGGATTGTAATGAATTTAAAGGAACATGGGAATTTGTCAAAGAGAACTCAAGAAGCCAACGATAAGGCACCACAAGAAAAAAGAAGCCAAAACTGATTCAGGAAGCTCGAACAGTCAGGATCCAGATTTTATTTTAAGCTCACTTGATATCAAGAGTTCAAATATGTTAGCGCAAGTGAGCCAGAAATAATCATTCTTCCAAAACCAGGAAAAAGAAGAAGGCATACCATCCGGTCATGAACTTTTTTGAACCCCAGCTCCGAATAACTTTGGAGAATGTCTGCATAGGAAAAAATTACAAACACAGATTAGCAACAAGCTTACAAACACAACCTTGGATAAATGAGGAGAAGCAGTGAAACCTAAACAACGCAATGTAGTTTCAAACTCCAGAAGAAACTTAGTTAGCCATTCTTGAGCTAATATGAAAGTCTCAAACCTGACGAAGACTCATTGCACTATAATTCAGCCAACTATACGGTAATCTATGCTCAGGTAGCAATTATACTTGGAACATAAAAAGTACTTGGAAACAAGCTCCAAAGGCATCCATACAAGCGAAGACTATTTCTGCACTTGGAAGTATCAAACCCCAACCTATCCAATTCAATCAGAACAAACTCTGCTGAAAATTCCCAAGCTCCCTGCCTCCAATGAGCCTCAAAATAGGCTGAAGAGAGCCCTCAACGACAACAGGTGTCAGAAATTATCTTGGAATCAAGTAAATTGGTCGGAGGAAGCAATCCCTCTATTTTTCAAGAACAACCCAATTCCTAGATCTAGCAGTTTCCCCAGACCCAGAAAACAAAACTCGAAATTGAACAGGCAAGTACAGCTCAAACCCAATCAAACTTCACCAAGTAAGAAAAGCCACCAAGCCAGAAGCAAAGCAGTACCGAACCAGATTCCAATTCTCCAAATTCAAACACGTAAAAATGCAAAAAGGGTTTGAACTTATTAACCTCGCGACCGGAGTGATGATGCGAGGAAGAAGAAGAGGAAGGTTTAGAGTCGTCATGGCTACCGCCGCCACCGCCGGATTCAGCAACGTGGATGAGAAGCTCTCGATCTGCCTCTCTGTCCGGCTCCCTGCTGGTCATCACGATCGCCGATTTCTCATCCCCCATCACTCCGAACCTCACCCTACGAAGCAAACGCCGCCGCTGTCTCCGGCTATTCCCACCAATAAATATTCTAAAAAAACCCAAAATCCCCTGAGGAAAGAAGATTACAGCAAGGAAAAAGTCCCTCCTCCGCCAATGAAGAGAAGAAGAAGAGACGATTCCCTCAGACTTGGCTCCGTCCCAAGCAGGGAAAGGGCTTTGTTTTCAATTCGTAAACAATAATAATCAGAATAATCAGTCGAGGAAGATGAGTTGCCGAGTTCGATATTTCAAATTGCTTTCTTATTAAGTAATAATTAGTTAACAAACTCAATAAATAAATTCTGCTAATCATATAGGGGAAGAAAAAATAAAATAAATTAAAACAGAAATTCGGTGGAAGGGGATGAGTTCGAGGAAATTTTGTCTCCTTTATTTTAAACAGTTCAACAGCAATTAGCTACTGTTTCTAAGATGCTACAGAATATTGAATCGAAAAAACTATAAATTTATGGTTTACTGCCTGATCCCTTAAATCGCACTTGTGTTTTCGATTGAACACACCTATCATTAGCAACCGTCTGATCCGCTAACAATCGTCCAAACCGACAAAACCAACGACCTATTACAACAATCGGTTGATGGTTTTACTCGTCTAGCCCGGAAATATGGTGTGGTGTATAAGATTAGGCACAAACATATAATTGTGTGGCAATGGAGGATGTGATGAGGAGAGTAGTTAACTGGTTATGGCTTTGATTAGCTGTTTGCACATGTGTAAGACTTTAGGTTAGGAGAGGGTTTGACAGGTTGTTGCCAAACAGGGCACAACTGTTTGCAGTGGAAACTAAATCTATAAAGGCAAAATACACTTCCATAGCCATAATTTTTCACTTTATGACAAATATAGCCAAATTTTGAAAAATACACAGATATAGCCATTTTATTTATACAATTAACGGTTCTGTTAAAATTGCTGACCGGACAAACGGTGATTTATGACATGGCCATTTTTCATCTACATGGAATATGCTAACGTTTTCATTAATTAAAAAAAGCACTTTATTTACCAGAACTCTCAAATTACTCTTTCGGTCCCCAATCCCCATCCCCAAACCCTATCCCCACCTTACTGATCCAGTACCCTCCGCCGCCTCTCTCGATCTCATCTCCCCACCGCCGCTATACCTTCCCTCATCCATCCCCTCCCTTCCCCACCGCAGCTGCATCCTTCAGGTCAAAGCCAAAGCATCATGGATCCATATATCCCTCCTCCCACGCGAACACGCCGCTGCTCCATTGGTAGCTCCACGCCTCAAAACCAATCTATTCTCCGAAATCAATCGTTATCGTCGTCCCTCTTGGAGACCCCTTTCCACCACCAGATCAAGATTTCGTTGCCTCCAATGATGCAATGATGTCGTCGGGAACTAGCTCCCCCATCCCCTCCCCGCTCGTGAAGATGAAAGCCCCATCAGAAGAATCCCATGTTACTGTTCGGGCTGCGAATAAACCCGACGCTGTTGCCGGGAAAAAAATCGTCGGATTCTCGACTCCGACTCAAGACCTCGACTCGGGCTTCTCTTCTCGATTCAGACAACCCATCGAAGCTCCAGTAATCGACCGTTGAGACAAAAAAATCCGAAGTGCGGATCTAGACGATGAACAGAGAGAGTGCGGAGGATGATGGCCAGAGTTCAATTCCATAGAACTTTTTTATCTTTCAGATTTGGGGGAAGCTAGAAAGAGCCAGCGGCATCAGTTGGGCTAGAGATAGACTGGAAACTTCAATTTTCCAGTAGAGGTACTGAAAGGAAGAAGTTGATTTGGGGAAAGTCGAAGAGATTGTCGTGGCTTGTGTAGCGGTGGCCGGAGGAGACAAACCCTCGTCGGCATCGACTGTAATTGGATTTCTGTGTTTGATTATTAATAAAATTTACTTATAAATTTATATGAATTTTTTAATTAAAATATGATGTGGCGTTTATGTGGATATGACATGTCTAGTTGGAGATGAAGTGTCGTCCAGGTGGCATCCACGTCAGCCTAATATTTACGAAACGGATGGAATTATTAACAGCGTTAAATTTTTTAACGGAAAAGGCTATATTTGTCAAACTAGTTTTCAAAATATGGCTATATCTGTGTATTTTTCAAAATTTGGCTATATTTGTCACAAAGTGAGAAGTTATGGCTATGCAAATGTATTTTGCCATCTATAAACTACTCGAGATTTCAGCTAACTTTTAGCCCTTAATCTTCATTTAAGTGGGGGGAAATGAGCAGATTTCATGGCTGATAAAAAAAAAATCCATAAACTATAAAGAACCCATATTAACAAAATAATTATTGGCAATTGATCATGAGAACCGATGAATCCACGAGATTTAACATGATTCAGTCGATATAAGTTTAGATCAACAGAGGGTTGTTAGTTTCTGATCATCAATCGAATGATTTCTACAATGCAACTATCCCTTTTCTCGAAACCTTATAGTTTGTATACATTGATGTTTGCAACGTGAATAACTCCTCTTATGGACCGAAGAAGAACGAAATTGAAAGGCGAAGCCTGCACAGTGAAGGAATCAAGGAGTTGGTGATTGGTGGAAACATACGAACATGAAATCGTTTGGCTCGAATGATATGACATGCAAAGTGATGATCACGAATCAAATGTTTTGTGCGAGAGCGAGAAGACACGTGATCCGAGAGCAACGACAAGGTTGTTAGAGCGTAGTGTGTTAGTGGGGGGGGGGGGGTGAAAGAGGATGATGAATCCCAGTGAGACCATCCCGAATAACAGAAGCAGTGATGCAATATCCGACTTCAATATTAAAATTGGTGATGACGCATTGCTTTTAAAACTTCCTAGTGATGAGAATAGAACCAACATGTAAAATTGTGAGTGACAAGTAAGTAAATGTTACGTTATTAATAGTTAATCAATTCCCTATCAGTTTAGTTAGGTTAATTGTTAACCGTAGATATTGCATTTGGAAAACTTGATTTATATTTTAAAATAGCAAATAAGTGCCAAAAAATTTCGTACCAATATCACCCATCTGAAAAGCCATGGAAGAAGATCAAAACCGTGTTATTGGGCCAGATGCATGGACTCGTTCAACAAAACTGAAAGGTCGACGTCAAATCCTGGTCAACGTCGGCAACTGATATGTTTAGGCCCAATACCTAATGTCCGTCTCCGTCCAATCCATTCTGCATAAGGAAACAAACAAACAAACAAACAAAACGACCCTACAGCAGAAGGTCACTGACCTTAACCATAAGGCCATAATCGATTGATTGTTTCGTTCTTTAATCATAACGTTGTGGCTCGATCACGATTTCCAGAACGAAATTCACTTCGTGGTTAGTCGTTTTACAGGACGAGTTGACTCAACCAGAGTAAACGTTCAAAACAGGTAGACCAGAAGCCCATTAGGCAAGGAAACCAGAAAAAATGGGCACCAAGCTTTGATCTTGTCAAACCGTGGGGAGGAAATGGGAACACTTAGTGATATTGATTGATTGGAACTAACAAACAAAAACCAGAACCAAAAAGGCAGGCAGCCAAAGTTCTCAATTCATGTACGCAATGTCCCCAGCCAAACTAAACTCTTATTCATATGAACCCACCAGAAGAACAACAACAAGACCACAGAACTTTCCCTCCATTTCCTACACACACACCACAGCAGAATCTTCCTCATTCCGAAAACGGGTTGCTGCTTCGTTAACAACATTAGTTGAAGAAGGAGGCTAGGAAAAAAAAAATGCTGGAAGGGAAGGCCATCGTGAAGGAAACAGACATGCCAGAGAGCATGCAGATCAAAGCCATGGCTTCTGCTTCAGAAGCACTCGACATATTCGACGTGCTCAACTGCAGATCCCTGGCTGCCCACATCAAGAAGGTAAAACCTAGAACTGTTGCTCATCTATGGAGATATATGATTCATGGGTATTTCCATTTTAAGCTGATAAAATCACTCTCTGCTGCATTATGTGGGATGGCAGGAATTTGACAGAGCTTATGGAGGAGGATGGCAGTGCGTGGTGGGTTCGAGTTTCGGTTGTTTCTTCACTCACAAGCAAGGGACTTTCATCTACTTTGCTTTGGGATCCCTCAACTTCCTTCTCTTCAAGGCTACCCCTCCCACTTGAATTGACTATTTATCACAATTCAGTAGTTCATCACATGTAATTTTGCAGCTGTGAGTTAGAATGCATGCAGAACAAGATCTGTTGGAGTAGTTATAGATTTCCCTTTGATAAGTTTTTTTTTTTCAAGTTAGCTTGTGTGTATCAATTTGATTGCTATAAATGTCAACTATTTACAAAGAAGACAGAAAATTGAAATGCTTAGCAGCCCTCTAAATGAACCTTCCTACCTCTCTCTCTTACTATCTCTATACATACTTGAGCAACAATCAAAGGGAAATAACTCTAGAAACCTGAGAAAGCTAAGTAGTGAATACCTCATCAATCAACTGATCTAGGATCAACGTCTCTAAATCGATCACAGCGTGTTCAGCTTCTTCCATGGAGAATCCATTCCTCCAACCCAATTCCCACACACCACTCACAACTCCTATACTCTTCACATCCTTCTCCAGTATTGAATTCACACTATCAGTAGCTTGCCTGGGTTGCCTTCCAGAACCCAGAACAAGATAATTGTTACTGTACCCCTGGAGTGTCTCGATGCCATTGCAGACTTCTTCTACAAGCTGGTCTAAAGAAACATGCTTTCTCAATGCTCCTCCTGCACAAGAAGTAAGAAGAAGCAAACCATCTCTTCTTGCTTGTGAATCCGGATCGCTTTTGCATTTGATGAGTTCATTTGCATAGTCTAGTGACAGTTTCTCGTCGAGTGGATCGAATGTAGTTGATGTTGATAGTATGGTGTTTGGAGAAGGGACAGTAGTGAGAGGAAAGAGCTCCTCTACACGAGTGAGAAACTCTTGGCTGCTAAAAAGGAAGGTCTTGAAATGGATTCTGGCTTTGGATTCAGCAGACTCAACATTCTCTCTGGAATCTGAGGTCTCCAAAGGGACAATTTTCTGAGGACTGTGGCTTTCTGTACAATGTTGTACTGCAACAGAAAACAAGAAAGAAAGGACATGTTAACGAGAAAGCCCTCTACTTCATGTTGTGTCAATTAAAAGGAAACAAGCTATACCAAGTGTAATATTTTACCTTCAAGTGGAATTTCAGATGAACTTGTTTCTTCTCCTCCTCTACATATCTGCTCTACTGTTGCATTAATGGAACTAATTTCTTCCTCAACAGGTCGAATTTCACCTACTAGATCGAGCTCGTTACAGTCTTCTTTATGTTCTTGCAAATCTGTGCTCTG